AACAACAACAATACTTTTTCAGATTGTGTGAATAAAATGACTTCTGGATATATACTAAAGCTTTATTAATGGAAAGAATTATTGTATTGCTTTTCACAAAACACAACTGATCTATAATTTTTAAGACTTCCAAATTTCTAGCTAATAAACTCAAAACTGAAATCTGTTCTTACCAAATCAGAGTGAACTAATGGCTGCTCCTCCAACAGGTTTCTGAAGTTATAAATCGTATTGCTGTTCTTGCCCCCCGTGCAACTCCCTAAGGACTCCATCAAGTCACAATAAATATTAAACCAATGTTTTAAAGTGTGGATTCAGTTACATTGTTATATAAACCGTAATGACAGAATCAAGTTTAAATAAATATTCCTTTGCTTATAAAAGTATCTATAATTGAAAGTTGATTCATTTTTATTTTGCTTTAATGGCTGGTAAATGATTTTAGAAGACTGTAACTTTTATAATGGGACATGCCAAAATGATTTATATTTGATACAGAAGCAGGAATCCCATGGAAAAGCTGATGAGTTAAGATACATAATTCATTTTCTGATTCCAGTAGGGCACAGATTTTAAAAAATAATTAAAGTTATGCACATCTAAATTTTAATTATATAATAAAAAGACTTTCTAGAGGTAGAAACTATTAAACTTAAATGGATTTTAAGCAAGAAATTGGAGGAACACTTTCACTGATGGCTTTTAAAGTGGGCTATAATTCCATCTGAGGGTTTATTTCATCCATGAGAGTTCATATACCTTCTGAGGTTCTTTTCTACTCTCAGGAATCTACGAACAAATTAAAGATAGTCATTCTTGTCTCAATTTTCTAACATGTTTAAAAACCAAAATATATTCATTTAGCATCCTGTCTTTTAAAAGCCAAAATAAGGGCAGAAAACACCTGAAGAAATAGAGACTTTTAAAAAAAAATTGCAAATTTAAATAGCCAAGAAGTGCTAAGCAGAGGACTCATCTTGCAAGACAGAAGGCAAAATATCAGTGTTATACATATGTGTTCATAATTATCGGAGACTTATCATTGGTCACACTTCCTGAATATTGAATGATGTGAGATAGCAGTTGTTAGACTAGGAGCTGAAGACGTTTATCAGAACTTCATTATTTGGTATTTGCTGCAGACGGCTATATTGTTTACATTTTTATGCAAAAGGCAGGTAAGGAAAGATTACCTGGAAATCTTCTAATTATTTGGCATAATCCTTCCTTTCTGCAAAGCTGATGCTGTATTTCTGGTAATATGTTTACCTGAAAAGGATGTAAAAAATCCATAAACACTAATGTAGAGAAAAAGCAAAACAACCCAGAGGGAATAGATGAAATATATGAATATACGTAAATTAATATTCTCTCTACACCACCCACTTACCTCCAAATGTCTGATATCAATTTTCTGTATTAAATACTAAAGTGGTTTATTTGATAGCATAAGTAAAACTTGTCCTTATAAATCTTTAAAATATTTCAAGTTTGAAAACCTTGCTATATCTAAAAGCCATACCAACAGTTGCCAAGTTTTGTTTTGGCAAGAAATAACATCAAGATATATCCAGTGGCTTGTAATAAACAGGTGCTTACACTGGGATGTAAATCAAAACATTAGTATTGTTATTATTAGTAGCATTGTATTAGTATGTTCCTTCTTTTCTAATTTTGAGTTAAATAAAATTCACAAAGGAAAAAAACCCACCAAATATACCTTGCAGTCTACTGAACGTAGGAGCTTTTTGTGGCTTTCTTAATGATAATTAGAGATGTTATTGTTCTGTGAAGTGGAGTTCACTACAAGTCATTAATGCTGTGTACCGTGAAGTTGGAACCAACCCATAGCTGACTCTGCCGCAGGTTTTCAGAGGCAGTTACATGGGAGTGGATTGCCCAGCCTTCTCCCATGGAGCAGCTGGTGGATTCAAATGAGGTACTTTTGGGTTTCCACAGCTTTTTACCACTAGGCTACCAGAGCTCCCTAGGACTCTTAATGAACCTCTGAGAAACAGAATCTTGTCCTAAACTGTACGATCTTCAAGATCTCTCATATGCTTGAGCCCGTATTTAAAGTCACTGCAATGCATATTGTTGAGAGCATTCCTCTCTTTCTATGACCCGCCCCCCTTCCCACCATGATGGACTTTATTAACGACTGGACCATCCTCGCTATATGCCTAAGAGAGGTAAGACCAAGTTTTTCCATCCTTGCCTCGAATGAGCGCCTTAGCTGCCCTCTTCCAAGTCAGATGTGTTTGGGTTTTTTGGCCGCCCATGAAGTATCCAATATCCTTCTCCATCACGAGACTTCAAACGCATCCATTCTTCTTCTGTCAACCTTACTCACTGTCCAATCTTTAGTGCCGAACTTGTTTCAGAGGGTGCTCTGCTGGTGCAAGTAATTAGATGTCCAACTGCAAACCAAAAGGTAAAATCTACCAGCAGCTCCAGGAAAGAGAAATGTACTTCCATTGAGATTTCCAGCTTTGGGAATGCTACAGGCCAGGTTTACTTGGACCTAGAGGACCACTAAGCCAGAATTGTCTGAACAGCAGTGAATGTTCATTCAAGTGGTTCCAAAATCTCAAATTTACTCTTCCTTTCATACTACAGCACATTATCCTTCCCAAATATAACCTCAGTAACTGCAATATTCCCTCTATTTTAACTAAACTTTGTTCTTAGATTAATAGGCATCATCACAAATTTAAAAGTATTTTGAAAATTATACAGAACACAAAAGAGCTAATTCCCTCATTTTCTTATAAACTCTTATTTTGATTTAGTAATGATTATCAAGAGAGCAGGAGCTCTGGTGACCTCATTCAGGAGGAGCTGTGCTGCTAATCCAAGCACTTGCCTCGCACGGTTCAAATCCATGGAGGCCTCTTGAGGAGAAACTGGGCGCTCTCTTCCCGTGCAATCAGAAATCCAATGGAGGGTCAATCATGAGATGGTTCAAACTAACCACATTGAGCACATACCACCAAATACGGCAATGTTTTGTTAAGGAAACAAAACAAAAACACAGAAGGAAGCCAATGTGATTTAGCTTAAAGCTTAGGTTAGTTTTTGAGACATTCTGGATCATTTCAAACTGATTCACTAATAAAGTATTGCAGTTTCTCCACTGGGCCCTGCTTTCATAGCTAAGATGAAGAGTTGAGGTGCTGTGGGCGGAGAGAGGAAATCTGAACCACGCACTGTGGTCCTCACTTCACTGATGGGGGCCCTTTAGGGCATCATTTTGCTTCTCATTCTTCCTTTGTAATGTCAAGTACTGAGCTATTGGTCTCTAAGGTCCCTTTCAGCTTTAAGGTTTTATTAATGCAATAATAATTTGCAGTTTAAGAAAAAGGATTCATTTTAAGTGCTTTAAAACCATGCATGGATTAAGCAAGCATTTTCTAGCTTTTATAATTCCTTTAACCCTATTCATTTAGTAAATTTTCTTTGCCCTGTGACATCTAGAGTGAGGATGAGCTTTAAATGGGTCTTGAGAACTTGGAAGACCTCATCCCTGTGATTCTGTGATTCTGCACCTGCAGTATTTCTAGACTTCATCTGGAAAGTCCACAAAAAATGCACAGAATGGAGTCATTTACATTACATTACATTTCTCCTCAGTGAGGACTGAGGAGAAAGCTCTTTGAAACAGCTTCTTCTTGTTGCTGTTGGCTGTTGATTCCAACTTCTACAGACCCTAGGGACAGCCTCTGAGGGTGCTCTAGGCTGAGTCCCTCTAGGGAAGGATTCCGCCCTCGAGCTCTGAGTGCTCGCCATGCTCTCTGAAGTCAGCTAGAAGATCCCAGGCCCTCGATCCCAGTTCCACCGTCCAGGCCATCTGAACAGCAGATCTGCTTCCTTAGTTTGTGATGATCTCATCTTCCTAGTCCATTTGAATGGTGACTCCACTCCCTCAATCCTTGTAGATACCATTTTTCTATTCTTAACAATGGCAACCGTGTTCCCTCATACTTGGGAGATGAGTGCTCCATGCCTCAGACACACATGAAATACTGTCCCATGAACTGTCTGCAACTGATTGGTGGATAAATGACACTTTTAACGCTGTTAAAAGGTGCTGTCAAGTCAAGTGCAACTCAGAGCAATCCTATGGACAACAGATCTGAATCCTGTCTTATCATGTGTCAACCTCACAATCTCTGACTCATTTGAGCCCCTTGCTGAAGTTACCATGTCGCTCCAGCTCATTAAGGGTCTTCTTCTCTTTCCTTTCCAAACATAATGTCCCTCTCCAAGCCTGTCCTAGCAACATGCCCAGAGCATGAGAGATGAAATGCTGGCATCCTTGCTTCCAAGGATTATACTGGCTGCACTTTTTCCAAGACATAGAAACTCAAACACATTAAATCTTCTTTAACCATCCTTCTTCACTGCTCAATTTTCAGATGTACAGGAAGGAAGTGAAAAGATCATGGCTTGAATCTGACACACCATAGTCTTTCAACTAAATCTTTTGACTATTATAGAATGAATATATTGCGTGATCACATGGGATTGAACGAAAGGGGAAAGTAAATGGAAAAATAGATTTTAGTCCGCAAACATCTTCTACAATCCTAATCTGTGGTAATTTACACCTAGAATGCCTCTATTATATAGCAGAAAAACATTTTAAAAAATAATTTTTTAGAAATATTTTATTAACAAAGCAGTAGTATAATATTAACCATAAACATTTAGGAAATACATATAAATAAATAAAAAAACTAGAACAGAAAAGCTATTAACTTGTTAAAATGAGTGGACATGTGAATTTTGTTCTACTTCTGAGGTATAAGAATGAATTAGGAGAAAAAAAATTACTAATCCAGTATGAATCATACTCATACACCATTGTTTTTATAAAAAGACTGCTTTTTTTTATTTACTAGCTATGTCTCATGCATTTCATTTTTTTTTTAAAAACCCATGTTGTTGTTTTGTGCCATCAAGTTGCTTGTGACTCATAGCGACCCTATGTACAATATCTCTAGACTACGCTCTATCCTGTGCCAAACTTATTGTCTCTGTCACATACACCCCATTACCCCAGTCACTGAATCAACCATACCTTTCTCAAAACTCTTCAATATCATCTACAAAGAAAAGAATTAATGACGAGGAAAAAAAGATATCCAACTAATCAATAAAATTAAGTACTTTCCCCCTTCCTATGTCTTTCTTATATGTTTTATTGACTATGCAAAGGCATTTGACTATGGTGTCATAATAAATTATGTCTGACATTGAGAAAAATGGGAACTCATAACACTTAATTATACTATTAAGTATCATTAACACTTTGGTGGCCTAGTAGCAAGAAGCTGCACTGCAATCCCAAAGGCACACAGTTCGAGGCCACCAGAGGCCCCGCAGGAGGATGAGCAATCTCCTCCTATGTAATTACTGCCTCTGGAAACCCACAGGAGGGTAGCTATGGGTTGGTTCCAATTCTACAGTACACAACAACAACATAACTAGACTAAAAAGCTGTAGTTTGAACAGGGCAAGGGAACATTGCATAGTTTAAAATCAGGAAAGGAGTGCATCAGGATTGTATCCTTTCCCTATTCCTATTCAATCTGTATGCTGAGAAAGTAAGTCAAGAAGCTATACTCTATGAAGAAGAATGTAGCATCAGGATAGAAGAAAGAGTGCATAACAACCTGTGTTATGCAGGTGGCACAGACTTGCTCGCTAAAGTATGAACTTGAAACACTTGCTGCAGAAGGTCAAAGACTACAGCATTCAATATAGATTTCATTTCAACATCAAAAGACAAAAATCCTCACTAATGGACTCATAAAGCAAGATCATGATAGATGGAGAAGAGATTGAAGTCGTCAGTGATTTCATCTGACCTGGATCCACAATAAACATCCTTGGTAGCAGCAGTCAGGAGATCAGGAGACATACTCCATTGGCAAAATGTGTTGTCAGGGACCTATCCCATTACTAGGGAGCAATGACATCAGTTTACGGACTAAGGAGCACCTGATTCAGGCCATGGTCTTTTCACTCGCTATGCATCTAAAAGCTGAAAAATGAATAAAAATTACAGAAAAAGAATTTTTGCTTTTGAGTTGTGGTATTAGAGAAGAGTGTTGGATATAACATGGACTGCCAAAAGAACAAACATATTAGGCTTTGGGAAAATGCAGCCAGAAAGCTTCTTAGAGGCAAAAACGTTGAAACTGCATCTCACCTACTTTGTGCACGTTGCAAGGAGATTGACATCGTGTTCCTTGGAAAGTGACATCATGCTAGGAAAAGTAAAGGGTCAGTGAAAGAGATGAAGACCCTCAATGAGGTGGATTGACACAGTGACTGCAGCAGTTGGCTCAGAGATGATGAGGATGGGACAGCAGGGGGCAGGGTTCAGATCTACTGTTCATAGGGTCACTTCAAGTCATACTGATCTGGCTGGCACCAAAAAAGAATGTGTCTTTCGCATGCAATTGTCATTCCATCCAAATATACCTGGAAGTGGTCAAACCATCGCCATCAGCGTGTGCCAGCTCACAGTGGCCTAAGGGATAGAGTAGAGCAGTCCCCAGAGGTTGTAAATCTTAACCAAAGCTGATTTTCACAGCTCTCTCCTTAAGTACAGCTGGTGGTGATCCTTAGGTTAGTGACAGCTGAGTGTTTAACCTCTTACCCACCAGGGCTCCTTTTCGAGCCTGTCTTAGTGTGATTTCCAAGAGGAGCCATTTCAATGGTTCTCAGTGCTCAAGTGCTAAAAGCAGCATCCTGGTTTTAGGGGCTGCTAATCCTGCAAACATTTAGAGCTACAAATGAATCTCTCTGCTTCTGAAACAGTAGAGCCCTCTTGTTAGGGGTGAGACGGAGCCCTAGCTACTAATTTTAGAGTCCCCTCCAATAGTGGACTTGACTTCACTTTCAAAACCACAAGGACGAATGAAGTTATAAATTCATGTTATTAGCCTTCTGACCAGAAAGATTCTTGACTATTCATTTTCTATAATATCTTATGGGCAGTTTTATTAAGCACTAAAATTGCAAAGCTCTGACATGATCAACAATCTCAGTTTAAGCAGGTACCCATTCTTCTCCTGTTAGAAAGCCACAATCTTAAAACACCATCACCAAATAGAAAACAACTTCTATTTGGGTGCAGGTTTTTACAGAAAAATTATTTTTAAAACTTTAAGTCATGTGTGTGCCAATGTGATAAATATTTAATGTGTGTCACTTAGCATGTATTTATTCCTTAAAGATATTCCTTTAGGTGGTGGCCAGTGTAATTTCTAAATATTTATTTAGAAAGTTCTATAGTGAAAGAATTATGTAAAGAGGATTTAAAAACAGATGCCTTGAGTTTGAATCTTGTTGCTTCACTTATTAGCTGTGCAGCCTTAAGCAAGTCTCTTAATCTCTCTGTACTTCAGTTTCCTCACATGTAAATGTTTTAAAAACTCAGATATCTGTTGCTGTTACATCAATTCTGGCTCACACTCACCCCATAGTACAGAGGAGAGCTGTAGGATTCTGGAGGCTGCAAATGTTTACAGAGCAGATTTCCAAATGTTTCTCCTACAGAGTGGATCCTAAGTCCCTCAGGAACTAATCACCATTGAGTTGCAACGACTCACAGCTAGTCTTCCGTTGAATTTCCAAGGCTCTAAATCAATCCAGAGAAAATGTGCCCATCTTTCTCGTAAGACAGAATGGTGAGTGGGTTTGAACTGCTAACATTTTGGTTAGCCACTGAGCATATGACTGCTGTGTTACTTGTGTTCCTTTATCTGTACAGAATAGAAATAGAAGAACAGAAAAATAGACAGAGAAGATGACACAGGACAGGGCCTCGTTCATTCTATTGTACTTGGAGTCACTATATGTCAGACTCCACTGCATGGCATCGTGTGTGTGTGTGTGTGTGTGTGTGTGTGTGTGTGTGTGTGTGTGACCTGACGATGGCAATCTCATGAACAACAGATCTGAACTTTCCCCTACCCTGTGCCATTCCCACCACAGCTGATGTGCCCCAGTCTATTATTACAGTCATTGTTCAATCCATCTTGTTGAGGGTCTTCTTCTATTTCTCTGACCCTCTCTCTGCCTTTTCCAGAATGATGTCTTTTTCCTAAGGCTTATCCTTCCTGATTCCGTGCTCTAAGTAAGTGAGATTAAGTTTCACCATCTTGCCTCTAAGTGTGCAACAATGAATGGATGGAGAAAAAAAGTAAATAAAAAGAACTTGGAAAAAAATTCTAATATTTCACCTTTCCAATAAAATATGTGTTAAACATTTATTAGAAAAACAAAAACAAAACAAAGGCATTTAATGAATGGGTGGAGGAAGGGACTTTTGAAGAAGACAGAGAAGGCAAGGCTTAAGATGTACAAGAGAAAACAGCATACTCAACCCAAAGGCAAGGAAGTAGAAGTAAGAAGAAAGGTATTATCAAAACTGTCAACTGCAAAATTACCAAGTGGTCAGACTAAATCACTACAGGGCTAGCCAAGGACTGAGAAATATTTATTAGCTTTGAGACTTTTCTTCCAGGCTTGTTATTATTTTCAACAGCAGTGTTGCTGTGTACCATTGACTTGGGACTTACCCATAGCTGACCCTCCAGTGGGTTTCAGAGATAGTTAATTGTATGGGATGAGACTGCCCATCTTTCTTCCTTAGAGCAACTGGTGGATTTGAGCCACACTTCTTTGAGTCTGCAGCACATGTCCTTATAACACAGCCACCAGAGGATATAGTTCCTGGCTCAACAGACATCATAAGCTTTTGATAGTTATTGATATTTTCTTATCTTTTTTAGTTCCCTTTCTCTAAGCATATTTAGTGACCCTATGGTAGCATGTAGTATTGGGAGGTGCACTTTTATACGAATGGTAGTGCTTCCCTGATAACTGGAATGCAACAGAGGATCCATGAGAAACAGACAGTCTCCTCCTGTTATAATTTACAGCTTGGAAACCTGAAGGACCATCACTAATGAATCAGAACTGACTTGGTGGCAAGAAGTCTGAGCTTTGTTTCAAGCCTGTTTATGAAAGGTCACACAGAATACACAGTAAATACCAAACGTCCTTTTAGAAACTGTAAAAAAATGCTATGTTTTATTGTAATTTAGGATGTCAATTTAAAATTTTAAAGTCAAAATAGTGATTTAGAAAATAACAACTCTTATGTTAGATGAGAAAGTAAGCAGAATAATGCATTCTATAGGCTATTGATGATGTTCTTTGAAACTTACTGTGTAAAAACAATTGCACTAACAATGTTTGAGGTTGAGGGAGATCCTATTAAACCACCACTACAGCAAAAGGGTGACAATTTCACTATAAAATGTATAGAACATAACCAACTGGAATTTTCCACATAATGTTCTTGAATTTTTAATATTTTTAAATAAAACCAAATTGTCACTCACACCCTCTCACTTACTGCTCTAGAGCTGATCCTGCTGCATACAACTCTTAGTCTGGCTCTGAGTCTGTGAACGTAACTGGAGGTGATTACCCAGAGTTCTCTTGTGAAGCAGCGGGTGGATTCAAACCAACAGAAATTTATGGCATTTTGGTTAGGAGGACAACCTGCTCAGGACTCAACTATCAGATCTCCATAATTACAGACCAGAAACCAGGGAGTGTCAACATCCATGCGCAGTGTCGATGAAATCAACATTTTAAAATAGAATGCTGACTTTTTACTATTTTTGTGTGTGTGAAAATATACACAGCAAACCTGCTTTCATTTAACAGCTTCTTGACTTAAAAGATTACTGACGTGAGTTACATTTTTCACATTTATTTCTCTTTTTATTGTATTACTCTCATTGGCTTAAAATCCCTGACCCTCAACCTTCCTACTTATGCTTTTATAAAGCTATTGTGCATTTAGTCTTATGTAGACTTTTTTTAAAAGAATTAATACTAAAGGTTGACCCACTACTGGGGATATACCCCAAAGAAACCATAACTGCCACCCAAGTAGATATATGCACACCCATGCTTATTGTGACTTTGTTCATAATAGCAAAGAGTTGGAAACAACCTAAGTGCCCAACAACAAACAAATGGATAGAGAAGCTCTGGTATATCCACACAATGGAATAACACTACACTGCACTGAAAAACAAGGAACTCATGAAATATTATACAAAATAGGGGGCCCTGTAGGACATTATGCTGAGTGAAATATCTCAGTCACAAAAGGACAAATACCGCATAGGGCCACTGTTGTAAAACAGGATTGACATCGGGGTTGGGGGGAGACTGAGAAACTTGGGATAAATTATGTATACTGCATTGAAACAGATGAGGGAGAGAACTGCTTAAAAGGGATATATGATTAAGTATCACTGTCATGACAGGAGTCCAGAATGAAGGCCGCACAGTGGAGTGGTGGACTTGTGGGGAGAGATTGTATAACAATGAAAGAATTTTTCTTTTACTTTTCAAAGAGAGGAGTAAACTGGGGGGAGGTTGGGCAGGAAGAAAAGTGCAACGCAGAATGAACGAAAATCCAAAGTCTCTATAAACTTTCATTATAACTCATAAAAATTTTTTTAAAAAGAATTAATACTAAAAGGTGGCAATCTTTGCTTATTGAGCTAATTAATTGACTTTGGGGATAGCATATATTCAAAGTTTGAAGCCTAAGTGATTGCAGTAGTGTTGAGACCCTACCAGCTTCAAGAGTTCTGGTAGGTTTACATTCCTGAAGAAGAGAGTATTTACCTTTTGATGTAAACCTAACTGGCACATGTCTTCCTTGGCTATACATGGCTCTCCACCAGCCTTCCTGGAAGATAGGCAAATGAGCAGATCCCATGGGTCTAAATCACCTAATAAAAGAATATGGGGAAAAAAAATCATTTGTTTTCAAATGCATCATCTAACTCCTCAGATTTTAATTATTTCAGTCTTGCAATATGTGTAACAGCAAATGAGCATATATTTAAACGAACAGGTAAATTTTCAAAGCAACTACAATTTAACATTTCTAATTCAGCATGCCTACTATTTTTATCCCTGGTGTTGTATGCTAGAGAATATTCAATTAACTAAAGCAATGTCATAAAAATTTCTTTAAAAGCCTAAATTGAAAGGCTGAATTCATTACTTTTATACATTTATAATATCTTTTATTTAAAGATTAGGAGAAAAGAAAATCATAAAGTTTTTTAATGATAACAGACAACAATGTCATCAGATAATGATAAGAAGTCAAAACACAGAATAATGCATTTTGAGGTTAGCTAGTGCCACTACGTTTTAGAAGTCTAAACTTTAAGTATGCATGTACAATATTTATTACAAAGAAAAATTTGTGCTAGGCAGAAATTAAATGAAAGTAAAAAGACTCATTTTGTTTAAAACTATTTTACTGTCTAGCTATAGAAAGTGCAATCTTTTTAGATTAAATCAGTCTTTATATTTCATTCTCTTCTCTACATAGCACAGTTTTTTCTTTTTAATAATTGTTATTCATGCATACTTGATATTTGAACTTATAAATATCAGTGATACTCCCCAACTTCAGATTTTATGGTCTAACAATACAATGAAACAACGAAGCTCTGGTGATAGAGTAGGTAGGGAGTTGCACTACCAAACGGAAGACAGGCAGTATGAACCCACCAGTTGCTCTGCAGGAGCAAGATAGGAAACCTCCTCCTATGTAACTTACGGCCTCTGAAAATCCACTTGATGGTCAGCTATGACTCCATTTTGACTCAACGGCAATGAACAACATGGACATTAACAGTACAATTGAGTTCAAAATACAACATACAACATGCACCAATACAAATTCTACTTAAGCTCTTCCACCAAGAGCAAAACTTTTGGCCAAAAATAATACAATGACTTGCCAAAATAATCGCAAAACAGATTTTTTTTCACAATACCTGAATATTTGTAAATTAACACTTATATATTTCAGCTAACAGATGCTGCCCTGGATGTGCTCACCAAGTTGTGCCAAGAAATCTGGAGAATAACTACCTGACCAGCTGACTGGAAGAGATCTATATTTGTTCCCATCCCAAAGAAGGGTGACCCAACAGAATGTGGAAACTATAGAACAATCTCATTGATTTCACAT